AGAGGGGGGAAAATATGCAGATATTTCCTGGCAGTGGCGATGAGGTGGAGGTTGAGGAAGTTGAGCATGCAATTATTTGTCCTGCCTGGACAGTAACAGTAGTGTCAGGCCTTTGTGACTGGAAGATGGTTGTCATGGCAACCCTTGGACCAAGGAGCTTTCTTGGCCATTGTCTGAACTACAAAGTCCCTGTTCAGCCTGCCATGAGCTGATTAAAAGACAATTCAAGCAGGAGAGACACAGACACAGATAGAAGACCTTATACATATGGTCATCCATTGGAGATCAGCTCTAGGACCTTCTATGTACCCCCGAATCCACAAAGCTCAAGACCCTTGAGTGAAATGACATAGTATTTTCATATAGCCCCTCCCCACATACTATAAATCATCCCGAAATAATTTATAATACCTAATGCCATGTAAATTCTATATAAACAGTTATTGTGTTGTTTAGGAAATAACAAACAGTGACAAGGTAGAAAGTCTGTATATATTCAGACTTTTAAAATAAACTGGGTTTGTTTGTCGTGCCAGTATTGGGGCTTGAACTTAAGGCCTGGACACCAATCTTTTAGCTTTCTCACTGAAGGCTCAACCACATGAGCCACAGCTCCACTTCATGCTTTTTTGGTGATTAGAGACAGGTCTCATGGACTTTCCTGCCTGGGCTAGCTTTGAACTACGATCCTCAGATCTCCACCTCCTGAGTAGCTAGGATTCTAGGTGTGTGCCACCCATGCCTCGCAGTAAACTGGTATTTAAAATAGAGAAATTTGGCCCACAATTGATTGAATCCACACAGCACTGCCACAGGGCCTCGGTGAGCATGACGTCTGTCTATTCCCAAGACACAACTCCTCAGAGCCACCACAGTCAAGGCTCCCCACCTGGAGTGAGGCCTCTCGCTGCAGAAAAAGCAGGTGAGGGGGGCATGCACTGAGTGTGTGAGAAGTCCCAGTATGTGTGATGGAGCACGATTTGTGGCTTTCTGGCTTTATCTTTCAAGCCCCTGAGTCAGTCCAAACTCTACAAGGAAAGCAAAAACTTCCTGGGTTTACTTAAAAGGGCAAAATAATACAAGTCACCAGCTGGCAGCTCCACTGGTGTTTCTGCTCTGCATCTGGCTTCAGGCCAGAGACCTGCTCAAGCTCTGAGGAGGCTCAGTCTGGGGCTCAACTTGCACAGTCCCTCCTGAACCCTAGAGAGCTCAGGACAACCTGGGGCACAAACCCCAGGAAAAGGGCAGGGCCTGACACCTTCAAGTCTACATGAAGAAATAAGGCCAGAGAGGTTATGTGACTTTTTTGAAGCCACACAGACAGTTCATGGGAGAGCTAGAATCGAGGACTCCTGAAGGTTGAGCAGACAATGAGCAACACAGCAATTGCTCAACACAAACAACTAACGATCAGGAGGCTAAATCAGTCACTGAAAACCAGACTCCAAGACCCACTGGAATCTAATGAGATTGTCTTCAGAGCAATAACATAGTAGTGACCGTGCCACTCACCTGAATGCTTCACACGTGTAGGGACAGAAATCAGGGCTGGAAGAATAAAGTAACTTGCCTAAGACCACACAGAAACCAAGAGGAAATGCCAAGAGTTCCCCTAGTTCTTTTGTCCCTTCTCCCAACATCTGGGCCGTGATTCATCGTGACACTGATACTCTTCAAAAGGCAGAACAAAGCCAGGCACCAGTGGCCCACACCTGCAATCCTAGCTACTCAGGAAGCTGAGGTCTGAGGATCTTGGTTCAAAGCCAACTCAGGCCAAGAGGCTTTTATTTCCAATTAACCACCAGAAAACCAGAAGTGGCACTGTGACTCAAAGAGGTAGAGCACCAGCCTTAAGCAAAAATGCTCAGGGACAGGGTCCAGGCCCTGAAGTTAAGCCCCATGACCACCACCACCAACAACAACAACAACAACAAGGCAGAACAAGGAGTTGAATGTCTTCATTTATTTAGGTCACCAATTCCTCAAACCCTAAACTAAGTTATCTTCTCAACAAAAGTTAAGACAAAAGGTAATAAAACTGTCAGAGAGAAATAGGTTCTCCTGAATAGGCTGGAGAGAGTTACATGTGGATGGGGCAGATGGTTTGAGAGTAGATTTCAGGGATGGTGTTTATATACCTTTCCCGTGAGCTAAACATCAAGACTTTGTCTTTTCTTCACCTTTAATATTAAAGGGGATGAGACACTGACATTGTACATGGAGGCTCATCTGAGCCCTTGACAGGGGCTGGATTCTAGATGCCTGCCGATGGCAGACATCATATTAACTTATAGGAATCCTTACCACTTATCTTCAGAACATCTGTCTGGCTCACAGGCTAGAAGAGAAATAATACAAGCACTTTACAACAAAGAAGAAACAACTTCTCTCAGTACTGGCTCCTGAGGCTCTCAGGTCTATCCCCAACCCAATCTTAACTTCTGTTGTGTAATCCAAAGCAACGGTTTTATTTTCTGCTTCATTGCTTACCAAATTTGATTAAAGTAAGAACCACCAGGGCTGCTCCAAAGCATCTTTGGCAGTGCAGTCTCCACCCCACGCTGCCAGTGCAACTCTGTTTCTCTCGCATCACAGACAGAATGTGAAGTCCACCCAAAAGAGCTCTCTTCCCTCCTCTTCCCTTCTCCTGAAGCTCAGTTCAGGAGCTATTCATCATTCACCCACTAGGTACCAGCCATTGTGCTGGGGATGGAGGAGAACGATACAGTGGAGTCAAGGGTCCTGTGTCCAGAGCTTCTGCTCCACCAAGTAAGACACAGGGAGCTATTTGCAGGAAGGTCTGAGGCAGGCAAGTCAGATGGGTATAGAGGAAATGAGACCATGCAGAGGGAACAGGACAGACGAGCAAGGGAGAAAACTGGCATGGCAGGCTGGTACAATAATCTAAGCAAGACTTGAAAAAGCTGGGCTCCCTGCCACTCATAGACAATCATGGAGAGCCCTGGAGGCAGAGGCAATGTAGATTTGAGGCCCCCTTTACTCTTCCTCATGGCTCTAAAGTTCTTCAGTGGGCTTCTGGCTCATGTGATTGGAGGCTGCCTCCTACCTATTCTACCAGCACCTTTCTCTCCCTTCTCCTCCTCCTCCATCCTACCTTCCATATTCCACCGCTACTTCCTCCCATTTCCTCCTCTCTCCCCTCCACCCTCTTCGATTCTGCCTTCTATTTGCCTCTTCCTTCCTCCTTCCTCCTTTTCCTCTCTTCCCCCCATCCTCCTCATCTTGCTCCTCTTCTCCTTCCCCATCTCTTCTTCTTCCTCCTCTTCTTTTTTCTTTCTCTCTTGCCACTGCTCTTAGGCAGCCACCAATCAAGCCTATCTGATGAGGAAAAAGTATAGAAAGTGAAGATGGAAACAAAAGCCTTGATTCTAAGAGAAGCTGACTGAGGAGCAGCCAGCAGGTGTAGCAGAGGGGCAGGTGTTTGGGGAGGAACATGGCCACCTCGTGGGAGAGGAGGCCCAACAGAGACTAGGCTTTCACAAATCTGGAAACTCTAAAGTGCATGACCAACATTTCAAAAGCAACTTCTATCCTGGATTTCAACAGCTAGGAGGCTTGAGGAGGAAATATCCCTTCCATGATTCTGCTACGCAGAGAGCAGGACATGAAGACCCAGACAAAAGCACAGGGGCCTATGTCACCCTTGGACCACCTGCCACCTTATCACAGCTAGAGCAATCTCCAGTGAGTCTGCACAGGTCACAGCAATCTGTTTACAGACATTTAGAGTTTCCAGGCACTCTTAGGACAGGGGACTTGGGCTGGGTCCAAATGGACAGAGAAGCCATTCCTCTTGGTCTATTTATGTCGATGTAAACACTCGCCAAGGAAACAAGGCATGTGAGCATGCGCCAGCTCTGCAGGCCCTTGGGTGACTGCAAAAGGCAACTGGAAAGTCACATGTCATAACAGTGGAAAGTACATATGCAACTATTCTTAGCGGTGGAATGTATACACTGTCTCCCTGCCCAGGGGCCCTTGCACAAAGCTCTAGAAACTGTGAATGTGCCTTCAGCATAAACAAATCCAGAACTCTCCCAGCACAAATCATTTGCCAACTGAAGGAAAGGCCTGGAGTTTATGGTTTCACTCGGAGCTAGAGGTGGAGACTTTCTGAGAAGACAAGACAGAGCAGGCAGGCATCGGTGGATGTCACTGCAGCAAAACAAGGTAAGCATCCCTAACGCTAAACTCCTCTGTAGGTAGACTGCCAGTGAGACCAATATTAATGCATGGTTTCATCTCTGATTTCTCTTGGTTCCATCTTTAAAACAAAACTGAAAGACACTAGGGAGTCATGCAGATAGACTAGATAAATGGATGGATACATACATACGTGCATGCATGCATGCATACATACATACATACATATGTATGTACATAGATAGATTTTATAAACATCACTAGAAAAATTTTATAAACATCACTCTCGTCCCTCATTTCTGCCTAGTTACCAGAAGACCACATCCCCAAAAAGTCATCCTTGGGAAATGACTAATACCCAGAAAGTGATGTTCAGATGAGTTTACTAAACAACAGGTGCTGAGACTGTAGAAAAGACACACATCTCTGCTGGTTAAATGCATGTGCCCTGTCGGACTAACATTTCAGCCCCTGACAATCAAGAAACAGCCAACTTTGGTTTATTTAGTTTTCTCTAGGTTAGCTAATGATGTTTCTTTTGCCTATTATCTTTGAGAAGAACCATAATCAGAAAAAGAAAACCAAGGAGGGGAAGGGAGGGAGGTGGAGAGGAAAGAAAGAGGGAAAGGAGAGGAAAGGGATATTGCTTTTGAGTCTGAGGGGATGGCCTTCCTTTCCACTCTTCTCTACACCATATTCTTCATGATTCTGGAGACCACTTGGTGAATGGACACAGATGCTCTGAACCTTGGAGTGTGCACAGCTAACCCCAAGTGCATGGTGCTAAAAAAGACTTGATCCTTCCTCCCTCTCGGGGCTCCTCCTCTCTTTCTAGGATGGATGAGGAGTCACCAGATGACCTGCTCTTCAAAGACCATCACTTCTCCTCTGAATTGCTGAAACAACTCAACGACTTAAGGCAACGCAGGCTCCTGACTGATGTGAGCATCTGCACCGGTGCCTGGGAGGTCCCCTGCCACCGCAATGTGCTGGCCTCCAGCAGCCCCTACTTCCGGGCCATGTTCTGCAGCCACTTCCGGGAGAGCAGGGAGGCCAGGGTGCAGCTGCGAGGTGTGGATCCCCGGGCTCTGGAGCAGGTGGTGGGGTACGTGTACACGGGGGAGGTGCACATCACCACTGCCAACGTCCTTACCCTGATGGAGGCGGCCTCCATGCTGCAGTACCCCAGGCTGTTTGAGGCCTGCTCCTCCTACCTGCAGAGCCAGCTGGCCCCCAACAACTGCCTGGGCATGGTGAGGCTCTCCGAGATCTTAAGCTGTGAAACCCTCAGGAAGAAAGCCAGGGAGGTGGCCTTGACCTACTTCCCAGAGGTGGCTGCATCAGGTGACCTGAACGAGCTGGGGGCCTTGGAACTGAAAGACTACCTGGGAGATGACGGGCTGTGTGGGGAGGAGGAAAAGGTGTTTGAAGCCCTCATGGCCTGGGTTAAACACGATGTCCAGGCTCGCAGGCGGTACCTGCAGGAACTACTGCAGCAGGTGCGGCTTCAGTATATTCACCCCGCCTTCTTCCACCACTTCATCGCCAACGATGCGCTCCTGCAGTCCTCACCTGCCTGCCAGGACATCCTGGAGATGGCCAAGAGGCAGGTGTTCTCACTGTATGGTACCAGTACCCAAGACAGCCGACCCACGTGGCATGTCCCTCCGAGGAACTCCTACCAAGACTTCCTCCTCCTCCTGGGTGGACGCAAGGACAATCAGCAGACCACCAGGGAGGTCCTGCTGTACAGCGCACTGACCGGCCAATGGCAGAACCTTGCCAAACTCCCCACCCGGCTGTACAAAGCCTCGGCTGTCGCCTTGCATCGCAGCGTCTATGTGCTGGGGGGCATGGTGGTCAGTGGCGGGCAGAGTCTCATTAGTCACAAGGTCTATATCTTCTCCCTGAAACTCAACCAGTGGAGGCTGGGGGAGCCCATGCTGGCAGCCCGCTACTCCCACAGAAGCACCGCCCACAAGAACTTCATCTTCTCCATTGGGGGCATTGGAGAAGGGCAGGAGTTCCTGACTTCCATGGAGAGGTATGACAGCATCTGTGACACCTGGCAGACCATGGCCAGCATGCCGGTGGGAGTCCTCCACCCGGCGGTGGCAGTGAAGGACCAAAGGCTCTACCTTTTCGGGGGAGAGGATGTCATGCAGAACCCAGTACGCCTTACCCAGGTAACCAGCTGGCCCTGCACCCATGCACGCACATGTATGCAACACATACATATATTATGGCATACACACACACATGGGCACACACATGTGTGTGTTTAGGTGCATGTGCATGCATGCTAAAAATTCATATAGAGAAGCAAATGTTTATATGCATATGTATATGCATACATAACAGGCACATCATATTTCACGCATACACCTGTGCTTACATTTCTATTTTGCAGGGCCAGAAGAGAGGGAGGGAAGGAAGAAGAAGGATTGACAGCAAGAATGTTTTTCAGTTTATGCCATCTCTATCAACCCCTTCCCAAGCTACCCCAGCAAACTCCTCCACTCAAACTGCTACTTCTGACTCCCTGTGTATCAAAAGTTTGGAATATTCTTGAGAGATGGTCATGGGGAAGAGTGGCCTGGCAGGGCTTTCTAGGTCTTGTTAAGACACTGAGATTGTAGACCTAGTGCCAGTGGCTCATGTCTGTAATCCTAGCTACTCAAGAGGCTGAGATATGAGGATCAAAGTTCAAAACCAGCCTGAGAAGACAAATCTGATACTTTAATCTCCAGTGAACTAGTGAAAAGCCAGACACAGAGGTGTGGTTTGAGTGGCAGAGGACCAGCTTTGAGCGGAAAAGCCAAGCAAAAGTGTGAGGCCCTGACTTCAAGCCCCAGTATCTGAGATTATAGGGTGGGTCAGGTTATCAGATTTTGATTTTAGGAGTTTCTTCTAGATGCCTTGTAAAGAAGGAGTTAGAAGAGATCAAGGGAAGAGAGTTGGGAGATTCTTAGAGAAATTCAGGCAAGTCCAAGTTCAGGTAATGATGACTTGGACCTGATCAGTGTCACTGGAGATGCTTTCTTGCCTTCACTGTCTGGCTCATATTTTCTCAGACAATTGGGGCTAATTCTTAGTTATTCCACAATTGTTGTTTCTAGTTCTACTCATTTATTTGAGCTGTGACACAGCTCTGATCCACAAAACAGATCCACCAAAGTGCTTCTTTGTAAATCTGAGCCTCTCCTGCTTCGCTGAACATTTTTTTCAAAATAGAATCAACAACTATAGTGATGATTTCACATTGCAAAATTGTCACTGAGTTCCTAAGAATAAAATGCCAAGCTCAAAAAAAATCCTTCAGCTAGGATTTCTTTTTTTTTTTTAATTGTGAAAATCCTGTACAGAGGAGTTACAATTACATGGGCAAGATAATGAGTACATTTCTTATCAAGCATTGTAGCCTCCTCCTTTGTTTCCCCTTCCCATCCCTTCCCATCCTCCCCCCGCCCCCCCCACCCAATCCTCCCCGGCCCCCCGCCCCCACCTACATGAAAGTTGTAAAGTTCATTTTCGACATAACGACTTCAGCTAGGATTTCTTATCCATCAAGAAATGCAAAGTCCAACCCAACAGGATCCTCTGCACAGCCAAAAATGATTAAAGCTATCATTGTAGCCATGGGACACTGGAAGTGGATAAAAGTGTTTATCAAGATGCTTTTCTTATTTATTAGCTTGGAGATGGAAATTTGGCTTATTGAATATAGTTTTAAAGGAGTGCTTTGGGGTGACTTGAGGAAGCAGAATGGTTCATGTGCAGCATGCATTCTTTTAACGCAATGGGGTCACTGTGCAGATGGCCTGGTAAATGTCCCTTCCTACCTGGCCTTCTTTCTACCTGTTTCTGGAGAGCAGCTAACGATTCCTTTCTCAGGACTATATACGTACTCCTCCCCTGGTCAACAGCCATCCTTTGTTACTCTCTCTGGGATATTATGAAGATTGTGAATAAATGTTAAATCTATTTTGGAAACCAAACCCAACACTGGGAGAGCAGAAGGCCAGGAGGCTATTACTCTCTCCAGCAAAATGCAATCCATGTTTGTTTTTCTGTCAAGGAGGTCACTTCGCTAAGAATGTGCCACCTATGTATTTGCAGATAAAAGAATGAGCTTTCAGGGTCAGTGCGATCGCCCCTTTCTCTAGCCCTCATCTCTTCCAGGCTTCATAGCCTCACAGGCCTGACAAGGACCTCAAGAGGTCTCATTCTCAAAAACCTCCATCAGAAAGGTCACCAACAACCCAGATGTCCTCAACAGATGAGTGGATCCAAAAAATGCGGTACCTATACACAAAGGAATTTTACACAGCCATTAAGAAGAATAAGACTATGTCATTTGCAGGAAAATGGATAGATCTAGAACTAGTCATGTTAAGTGATGTAAGCCAAGCTCAGAGAGACAAATGGCACATGGTTTCTCTCATATGTGGAAGCTAGATCTAAAATACCCCAAGACAAATGATAAATTATACAGGTCTGTAGGCATTCACACACAGCAAAACCAAAGGAGGATACTCTTAGGGGAGCAATGCCTATGTGCCTCTGATCATACAACATATTCATTGAAATGAACTCCAGGAAATGGAAACAAGAGGTCTTCTTCTTTGTTGTTGTTTTTGTTTTCTTTTCCTTTTGTCTTGTTTGTTTGTTTATCTGTCTTTGAGAGGGTAAAGGGGGCACAGAAAAGGAGGGACTAAGGGGGAACAAATGCAGCAGTGGTACTCACTAGACACTATGTTGAAAATGAACTATATAACTTGTGGGTAAGAATGGGAGGAAAACCTGGCAGAGGAGGAAGAGGTAACATCGTCCAAAAAGAAATGTCCTCTTTAACTACCTTACATAATTGTAACCCCTCTGCATATCACCTCTATGATAACAATTTAAAAATTAAAAAAAGAAAGGCCACAGTTCTGTGACCCCAGGCAGAGGCCTGAACATGATAGTCAACAGTCTGGCTGGCCTCTGAGCCTTATCAGACCAACTCTTCCACTCACTCTAGCTGTACTACCTTGGGCAGGTCACTTAATCTGAGTCTTAATGATCTGATCTGAGTAATGGGTGAACCAATAGTATCCTTTCCACAGGATGATTGTGAAGGTCAATTTTTTTTTGCGGGGGGGGGGGGGGGGGGTCGGTCGTAGGGCTAGAACTCTAGGCCTAGGCACTGTCCCTGAGCTCTTCAGCTCAAGGAAAACCCTCTACCACTTGAGCCACAGTGCCACTTCCAGCCTTTCCTGTTTATATGGTGCTGAGGAATTGAACCCAGGGCCTCATGCATGTGAGGCAAGCACTCTACCGCTGAGCCACCTTCCCAGACCCTGAAGGTCAGATTTTTTATGTGCTAATAAAACTGAACTCAGGGCCCTTCACTCTTAGTAAGCTTTTTCACTCAAGCCTGGCACTCTACAACTTGAGCCACTGCTTTACATCTGGCTTTTTGCTGGTTAATTGGAGATAAAAGTCACATGGTCATGGACTTTTCTGCCAGGGCTGGCTTTGAACCTCAATCCTAGGTCTCAGCCTAATCCTAGGATTATAGGCATAAGCCACCAATGCCCAGGTTGAATATACCAGAACATTTAGGAAATTAAGCAACTGTTTAACATTGATTAGAAGAACTGCTGATTTTTGTACACACCCAAGTTGCTCCAGTTCTCATTAAAAGAAAAATGTGTTCCAAACAAAGTAAGGGAAATGCATATTGCAATACAGAACACTTAGTCCTTTCTGTAGAAATAAAGCCACATATATCCTGAGGTCACACAAGGATCAATTTCTAACAATGTTCTTTCTGTCATTCAATAATAAATTATTTCTTGGTGACAATGTAAGTACAATTTAAAAGCTAGAATGAAGCAGAAAGAAAAACATCTCAACTTCCAGGGTTTGTCCTTAAAATGACTATTTCTGTCCCCTTTTTAATGTGTATACAAGCCAGTACCAGGGGTTGAACTTGGGCCTTGAGCTCTTGCTTGGCTTTTCTGCCTGTGGCTGACACACTACCACTTCAGTCATGCTTTTGGTCCAACTTTTTCACTGATTAGATGAAGACGAGGTCTCAGCTCATGAACTTTTCTGCTCAGGCCAGCTTCAAATCTCAATCCTCAGATTTCTAGCCTTCTGGCTTCTCCCCCCACCACTTTTTTTTAGGTTTAAAAGGAAGTACCGTGATTGTATTTCTCCCTTAGGTTTATCACATTTCCAGAAACACCTGGTTCAAAATGGAGACAAGGATGATCAAAAACGTGTGTGCTCCTGCGGTAGTACTAGGACAGCGCATTGTCATCGTGGGAGGTGAGTCTGAGCAGAGCAGTTCTGGGTGGGCCACCAACATGGCATCTCCCAGGGAAAAAAGGCCACTGATGGACAGTGTTCTGTAGGACAGTCCTTTTGGATGCCATTTCTATTCACCTTGGGGAATGGCCCTTTTCTCATTCAGAAGTTTCTGCCTGCCTTCATCTCTAACCAAGGGATGAAATACTATGTAATTTTTCAAATTAGCTGTGATAACAAAGTGTATTATTATATCCAAAGCACTTAGCACCATCCCAGACTTACGATCACTAAGAGATATTTCCTATTGCTAAGAATATTGACAACTTCTCCATAGATGCATAATGTTGATGGTTAGGAAGGCTGGCTGGTGGGGGCAGGGAGGATGCAATCAGAAATATCTGGCTTCCAATTCTGGCTCTACCATTAACTGGCAGATTATTTTATGCCTCCATTTGCCCATCAGTAAAATGGGGATCCAAGAGATAGGGCTGTTGTGGAGGAGCATTTCTGATGTCAACAAAGGCTCCTTCCTTGGATTGTGGGGAGACAAAAATGCCAAAAAGACAGAGAAAGCTATGGTGCTGAAGCCGGAACTCGTGGCACTTGCTAGGCAAGCCTTATCCCACTGAGCTAAGTCCCCAGCCCCCTAATGGCTTATTATTGCCTTGATTTGAGGATAAAGCTGTGGGGACCAGCATCAGACAGATCCAGATGCCAACCCCAGCTCTGCCATTTGCCAGACCTTGCCAGAGAACCTCACCATCTCATGCTTGAGGACAGAGCCCCAGAAACAGCATGAGCAACAGTCCCAGCACACAGCTCTGTCATTTGGTTTTCAGGTTACACAAGGAGGACCCTTGCTTATGACCCTCAGTCCAACAAATTTGTCAAATGTGCAGACATGAAGGACCGGAGGATGCACCATGGGGCCACGGTGATAGGGAACAAGCTGTATGTGACGGGCGGGCGGCGCCTGACCTCCAACTGCAGCATCGAGGACTCAGCCTCTTTTGACTGCTACGACCCTGAGACAGACACCTGGACATCACAGGGACAGCTGCCACACAAACTCTTTGACCACGCTTGCCTGACTCTCCAGTGCATACCTCACATGGCCACCTTTTCATGAGATCTACACAGAACTCACATCCGTCAAAATGCTTTCAGATGAGACACACAGAAACCCAGATCCAAAGAGTTTAAGCCTAAAAGGATGTGGGAGAGCTTACAGACCTGAGGCCAGGCGTATGATTGTCAGAACTCACTAAAAACAAGGTTGAGGGCAGGCATGGTAGAGCAAATCTGTAATCCTGGCTATGAGGAAGGTGTAGATAGGAGGATCAAGGTCTTAGGTAAGCCTTGGGTAAAAGCATGAGACCCTATCTGAAAAACTTACTAAAGCAAAAAGCGCTGGGGGTATAGCTCCAGTGGTAGCAAGCATGAGGCTGTGATTTCAAACCCCAGTAAAACATACACACACACACACACACACACACACACACACACACACGGAAAAGAAGGGAGGGAAGGGAAGGGAAGGGAAGGGAAGGGAAGAGAAGAGAAGAGAAGAGAAGGGAAGAGAAGGGAAGGGAAGGGAGATGATAAAGGGTTCTTTTTAAATTCCATACCTACCTCTTGAGCCATCACTATTGCCAGAGTTTGTGCTATAAAACTGGATAGTTTTGGATCCCATCTCTCCAGACAGAAGTAATTAACTACTTTGATTGACAGTCCATCTGAACTGTATGTAATAGGACAGAGGCATTTCCCCAAAGGAAGAAATTTCAGGCTGATGTAACCAGAGCACCTCCGAAATGCAGAGCAAGAGGGGCTGAGAAAAACCCCAGAGGGTTCCTGCAAGCACTTGGTCTGCACTGGCAGCGTGAGAAATCTGCCCTGACTATGTTTCTCTGTGTTCTGTAAGCAGAGTACACTGAAATTCCAAAGAAGTATGTACAATTTGATATCTAGGGTTTTCAAATTTATCTTGTACTGAAAGATACTTTTTTAAAAAAACAGAATAAAGTTTTGTTTCTGGTGCCAAATAATGTTTGGTTTTTTTGGTTTTTTTTTTTTCCCTCCAGCCTCCAGGGAACTTTTAAACCTGCAAAATGAATCTGGATTTTCATTTCAGTAAGTATTATGAGAATTGTTCTGGGGAAAGCTAGCAAATTCCTCCTGTCATTATGACAACGATTACCCTCCAGATGCCAGGGCTGAGCGTCGCTGTACCCCCTTCTTGTCCAGTGCCTCCTACACGGGCTCTGTGTGAGACCCAAGAAGCAGCTGAACAACGCACCAGCAGAGCGCTACGCTGCCTGCACATTGCAATCACCTAGGAGGAAATCTGGGAATAGGGTTGAGCTTCTTTTCTGGACAAATGGACAGGGCTTCTTCTTGGGAGAAGCCTGGAGTTCTATTTTTTCTTTTTTCTTTTTTTTGGTTGTGGGGCTGGGCACTGTTCGTGAGCCTCTTTGTGCTCAAGGTTAGTGCTCTATCACTTGAGCCACAACACCACTTCCAGGTTTTGAGTAATTTATTGGAGATAAGAGTCTCATAGACTTTCCTGCCCAGGCTGGCTTTGAACCGCAATCCTCAGATCTCAGCCTCCGGAGTAGCTAGGATTACAGGCATGAGCCACAGGTGCCTGGTTTTGTTTTAAGGTTTTCTAGATGACCCCATTGTGCAGTCAGTGTGGAGACACACAAACCTGCTCAGCTGTGCTGTTCGTGGCTGCTTCTGTTTCCAGCCTGGCCTGGCCATTCCCATCCCAGTTCAGCCTGGTAAAGCAAAGTCCTTTCTCCTTTCACCAATGGGCACATTTGGAACAAGTCTTGCTGACAACGGAGAACTTGATTTTGGGGGTGTCGCTCCCATCCAGGTTCATGTTCTGCTTTTTCTCCTTTCTCTCTAGTGTGTTTCTTGCTGGGCTAAAATTCCACCCTGCTCCCCGAACCACTTGGCTGCCTAACCAGTCCCCTTGGAATCCCACCGGTTTCTTTGTCCCACTGATCCTATTAGAACCTTCTCTATCCAGACTCTCAATCCCACCTCTCCCGAAGGTGCCAGCATCGCCAGTCCATGTTCATATCCTGTCCATCTTGACCAGCGCACTGGGTGATATGGCTGCCCATCGTGTCCCCGCAGCTCCCTTCCTCTCTCCACCCTGTGACACCTCTCACGATGGTTTCTCCACCTCCTTCTCACGTCTCCTCCTCCTCCTCCCTGAGGTTCACCTTGCCTCCTCATTTTCCTGACGACAAATAGGAATAGGAGGACTCAGTCCTTAAGACACTTTTTGTCTCTACTCTCTCTCCATAGATGGGTGAACCTGTAAAGCCCACGGATTTGCACACGACCCACACACTGCTGACATTTTCTCTACCAGCTGCTTGCTCTTCATCTCTACATTGAACTTAAATACATATCTTGAGCCTAACTGACCCAACACTGCTCCTACCTCACCAAACTTGCTCCTCCCAGGCCTCCCACCCTAGCACGGGACAGGACAGGACAACAGCTTTCCTTCTGTTGCTCAGGCCCAAGGCCTTGGAATCCTCTTGCTTCTGAAAGTATTTCACACTCTATTCTTGTTGGTTCTATATATATCCAGAGCTCAGCTACATCTCACCATCCACAGCATCACTCTGACCAAAGCCGCCATCTTTTCTCATTTCTGCTCTTATAATAGATTTATCTGGGATCTCCCAACTTGCACCTTTACCCCTAGATCTCCTCTCTGTACAGCAGCCTGTGGAATCTTTTAAGAAAATAAATATAGCTGGGCACCTGTGGGTCACACCTATATAACCCTTGCTATTCAGGTGGCTAAGAGCTGAGGATCACAGTTCAAAACCAGCCCAGACAGGAATGTCTATAATACTCTTATCTCCACTAAACTACCAAAGAAAGCCAGCAGTGTAGGTAATGACTCAAGTGGTAGAGTGCTAGCCTTGAGCAAAAGAAGATCAGAGTCTATGCCCAGACTCTGCGTTCAAGCCCCAGGACCAGCACAAAAAACAAACCATAAATGTAACTGGGCACTGGTAGCTCATGCCACCTGGGAAATGAATCCTAGCTACTCAGGAGGCTGAAATCTGAGGATCACAGTTCAAAGCCTAGGCAGAAAAATCCATGAGACTCATATCTCCAATTAATCACCCCCAAAAATCTGGAATTGGAGGAAATCAGGCTGTGGCTCAAGTGGTAGTACACTAGCCTTGCACAAAGAAAGCTCAGAGACAGCACTCAGACCCTGAGTTCAAGCCCCAGGACCAGCACCAGAAAAAAAAGGCTAAAAACAGAGCTCTGGCTCAACTGGTAGAATGCTAACCTTCAGAGAGGAAAAAAAATGCTCAGGAATAGTACCCAGGCCCTGAATTCAACCAAGACCAACATACACACACACACACACACACACACACACACACACACACTAATCAAACAGGTCATTGTGTTTAAAAGCCTCTTATGCCCTTCCCCAGAGGCCCACAAGACTCCTCCACCTTGCTATGGGCTCTCTGGCCTCATGGAGTCTCATCTTTCACCATGCTTCTCTCTCAGCATTGCCACCATGTCTACCCCAAGCAGGTCTTCACTTCCTTCATTCTCACTTGCTGCGTCCTCCCACTTAGAAGCACGACTTCAGCTATCACGCCCACGCTGCGCCCTCCCCTCCCGGTCGCTTCACCACATCGATCAGCAGGTCCTGTCAGTGACACCCCTGAAATAGATCGCAAATCCCTCCACCCCCTGCCTTCCCTGCTGCCTCCAGGACAAGCCGCCTGCCTTTCTCCAGCCTCCTGAAGAGCCTGGGCCTTCCTTACTGCCCCTCCATTCCTTCCTTGAACAATAGTCAGGACAATCTCTTTTCCTCCGTTAACTCCAATTTCAATCTAATCTTTTTTTCATAGTTACTAGTATATATTAATTGTGAATGGCACCCCAAGTAGTTTTATTATGATAGTTTCATACCAGCATACACTGTATTCTGAGCAAATCCACCCCCTCTACCCTACCTTCCTCCTTCTTCAAACAGTTTCAGTAAGACTGGCTGTATGTAGGTGGCTCATAGGAGGACTTCCATTCTGCTTGGGCAGCAATCCATGAGACTATGATCTCCAAATATCCAGCAAAAAGCTGAAGGTTGAGGCATGGGTCAAGTGGTGGAACACTAGCCAAGATTGCAAGGCCCTGAGTTCAAGCCCCAGGAAGGACACAATTTTAAAAAATTCAACAAGTTTTATTGTTTTATTTCCATACATTACATAAAGTACTTCTACCGTATTCACCCTCCTCATCCATTCTCCCTGGCCCAAATCCTCCCAATGTAAGCCCCCACCCCCAGCAGAACTTGTTTTTTGCTTTGTTTTGTTTTATTAGGGCTTGAACTCAGGGCCAGGGCGTCCCTGAGAGGTGTTTTTGTTTTGTTTTGTTTTTTTGCTCAAGGCTAGTGCTTTACCAGTTGAGCCACAGCTCCACTTCTAGCTTTTTGCTAGTTAATTGGCAATAAAAGTCTCACAGACTTTCTTAACTAGGATGGCTTTGAACCATGATCCTCAGATTTCAACTAGGAATACAGGTGTGAGTCACCAACACACAGCTCATATTTTACATTTTAAGTACTAGGTTAAACACATGAGAGAAAAGTGTGATATTTGTCTTTCTCAATCTTGGCATATTTTGCTTAACATCCTGATCTCAGTATCATCCAATTTTCAGCAACAAGTTCATTCTTCTTTATGGCTATTTTTAATAAAAGTCTGACCATATTACTTCACACATTTCACAGTTCCCCAGAGACCTTAGCATAACGTCCCCAGGCCTTTAGCTAACTTCAGTGTCTGGGGCTTTCAACCATTCAGCACCCACCTCTCAGCTTTTACTACCCCATTCCCTCCTCTCATTCGCACCCTACACCAGCACATAGAATCACCACTACCAGCTAGAACCCTCCATCCTGACTCTTCATCTAACATTTCAGCCTTCACCCTATATATAAAATAAAATTCACTGCATTAAAGAGACATTCCTCTAGGCTCTGGTGGCTAAGGTCTCTCATCCTAGCTGCTTAGGAGGCTGAGATCTGAGGATCTTGGTTCAAAGCCAGTCCAGACATGAAAGTTCCTA